TGCAGCAATGCAATGCGAAAAACGCATATTGACGAGAGGTTGTCTGTGCGTCCGTGTGTCTGTGTGCCTGTGTGTCTGTGCGTCTGTGTGTCTGTTTGTGCGTCTGTCACGCACTTTCATCTCAGGACCTACAAAAGCTGCGAAGCTGAAATTTCGGGAACTTAATTTACATGCACGTACTGCCCCAATCTCCAAAATGGGTGCCAAAACCCGCGTGGTACCTGCGTACGAGCCCGCCAAAGTTTTTTGGGGTCAGTTCATAATTCGAGGATCTGAGAAGCTAGGATGCTGAAATCTTGGGGCAATGTTCCCCGCCCGATCTGGTATTAGTGGGTTCAAACCCAGCCCCCGGGTAAGCGAGGTACCCGCGTACGAGCCCTCCAAATTTTTTTCCGGGTAAGTTCATAACTCGGGGATCTGAGAAGCTAGAAGGCGAAATCTTGGGATAATGTTCCCCGCTCAAGCGGGTATTAGTGAGCTCAAACCCAGCCCCCGGGTAAGGGTGACACCCGCGTACGAGCCCGCCAAAGTTTTTTTCGTGTAAATTGATAACTCAATTACCTGAGAAGCTAAAGGAATGTAATTTTAATAGGATATACCCCGTTCACCTAAGTTTCATTCAGCTCGAACCCAGCTCTCAGGTATGCTTGGTAAACATGCACGGGCCCGTGTGAAACTCATTCAGCTCGAACCCAGCTCTCAGGTATGCTCAGTAAACATGCACGGGCCCATGAAAATTTTGTGCCCATAAGTCGCTAACTCAGGGGCCACAGAAGCTAGAAAGCTGAAATTTTAAGGAAATGTCTCCTGACAGTTCTGGTAGCTGGTCTTAGTTTGTTTAGCTGGAAGCATTTACCGAAAAAACCGGTGCCGGTAGCAACAAAAACTGCGGGGAACCATGCAAAAAAAGCATCTTCGCACGAGCAGCCCGTGCGTTGGCCAGTTATTTTGATCTGTACCAGTTATATATTGTTTTTACAGTACCACATTTGGATTCGATCAAATTTGACGGGTCAATCGATGTAACGCCATACCTCACTGAAGAATATGGTTTCAAGAAAACAGCATATCATAGTTCGTTTCTTCTCTTCCTCAAAAAATTGTAACTATGAAGTACACAGTTTGTAGTGAATGGAAAAAGTTGTATATGTTTCAGTAGCACTGAAAATTCCACACTCATTTTCTGGATGATTCATAGACACCGTGTTCAGAATTAGCAGCGCATCAGTTTAACAGTTCGTGAACTGCTGGAAGTTTTTTAACTCATGTTTTGGTAAATACGCTGTGGGGATAAGTCCCAAAATGTTTTACTGGTTTCGCTTTGTTTCACACTCTTACACAGTTGAGCTTACCGAGAATTTTAAGTACCATTATTCCACTTTTTAAGCAATCTAAGTACCGTTAATCTAATTTAAGCACCGTCAATTCAAGTACCTTTGGAATTCAAGTACCATTAGAATTTAAGTATTATTAGTTGTTTTTCGGAAAACAAATTCGCTGAAGTACGCAGAAATTATGATGCTAGATTGTCCCAGCTACGAAATTTACTTTCCAACTTCCTGCTAGATACCCGCGCGAAGTGAATTTCATGTTTTAATGATAAAAACCAAACATGCAAAATTTCAGATTTCCCAACGCCACCGGATCGTGGTCCATTCATCAAAGAGGTCACCGGGCATTATTTGACACTCTCTTGGATTCCAACAAAACGGGCACCGCCGCGTTATCCACAAGTGACTTATGTTATTGAAATACGTGAATTGCCTGGCAAAGAATGGATGCTGGTCAGTTTTTATGCGTTTTTTGCAGCTATGCAATGCAAAAACGCATATTGTCGAAGGTTGTCTGTGTGTGTGTCTGTGTGTGTATGTATGTATGTATGTATGTGTGTGTGTGTCTGTGTGTTCGTCTGTAACGAGTTTTCATCTCGAGATCCACAAAAGCTATAAGGCTGAAAATTTGGTGACTTAATCTTCACATACGTGCGGACTCGTGTCCTCAAAATGGTCGCTCAGGTCCGCGTGGTTCTCACGTAGGGGCACGTGAAAGTTTTTTTTGGCGGGAAAGCGTTTTCGGGAACGGCCCATGCTAGGAGGCTGGAACTTCACAGAGTTGTTCATTGACCATATCTAATCCAAAGACTTCAAATTCAGCCTTCACGCGCCCTCAGAATTCACGTACGCACACGTCAAAATTTAAACTGGCATGATGCCAACTCCAAATTTAAAGTGATCAATAAACTGCAGAGAGCTGCAATTTTGCAGCTTCACTTGATGCCCACTGTTGTGTCCGTGAAAATAAATTACTTGTCAGCCCTTCTGCATCTCACGTACGAACACGTGTACGCACGCGAAATTTGACGTAATTCCGCAACCAGAGCAGCTGGAGTGCTGAAACTTTTTGAGCGCTACTCAGGACCGTGTTTGACCAACTGCAGGCGAAGAAAGTATTCACGTTGCCACTCACGCACGAGCACGTGAAATTTGACGTAACTCTGCAACAAGAGCAACTGGAGTGCCGAAACTTTCTGAGCGTTACCTAGGGCCGTGTTTCAGCAACCCCAAGCGAAGAAAGAATTCACTTTACCATTCACGTATGAACACGTGAAATTTGACGTAACTCTGCAACCAGAGCAGCTGGGGTGCTGAAACTTTCTAAACGCTACGCAGGACCGTATTTGACCAACTGCGGGCGAAGAAAGCACTCACGTCGCCACTCACATACGAACATGTGAAATTTGACGTAACTCTGCAACAAGAGCAACTGGAGTGCTGAAGATTTCTAAGCGTTACCCAGGGCCGTGTTTGAGTAACCTCAAGTGAAGAAAGCATTCACTTTACCATTCACGTACGAACACGTGAAATTTGACGTAACTCTGCAACCGGAGCAGCTGGGGTACTGAGACTTTCTGAGCGCTACCTAGGACCGTGCTTGACCAACCGTGGGCGAAGAAAGCGCTCACGTTGCCATTCACGTACGAACACGTAAAATTTGACGTAACTCTGCAACCAGAGCAGCTTGAGCACTGAAACTTTCTGAGCATTACCTAGGGCCGTCTTTAAGTAACCCCAAGCGAAGAAAACACTCACGCTGCTACTCACGTGCAAACACGTGGAATTTGGCGTAACTCCGCAACCGAAGCATCCAAAGCGCTGAATTTTTTGGGCATGGATTGGGAGTCATTGTAATAGTTTCTAACAGTCGTGGTGGCCAGTCACAATTCTTTTAGCTAGAAGCATTTGCCAGGAAGAACGTGCCACTGGCGAAAAAAACCTGGGGGGAGCTGTGCAAAAAACGCATCCTAGTCGAAAGCGTACCGGCAGCTGGTACGCTTTCGACTAGGTTTTTTTCGGGGATGGGAGCGGGAAACGGAGTCCAGTGTCTAATTCAAGAACTAACATTAAAACCACCCGAACAGTTGATTTCATCTGGCAGTCGTAATATTCATCGCCTTGCTTTTTAAAAAGAAGAAACCGGAAATACTTGTAGTAGCGGTAATTCGTAATTTAGTTTTCCAGCTATCCAGCTAACAACTCTTCCAGTTGCTATGCCCAGTGCCTTTTTCTACTTCTCTGACCAGTGCTTTTCCAGTGACATTAACCTGGTGGTCAGCTTACTGGCGATTCAGACGCTCGTATGGTCTCCTAGAGAAGTACTTTTACCTATTCAACGGTTCACAGAATTGTATTATTTGAAAAAATCATAGGCGGATCCAGAATGGTTTCCTATGTGGAAGGCGATTTTTCTCCTCCCCCTATTTCCCCGCCCCGCCCCTTCTCTCGCTCCGCCTTCCCCCACCCTTTGTCACCACACCCCCTTCGGCCAGCTCGCTACACAGCTCGATGGTCCTGCTGCCCCGTCGCCACTCGACACTAAACTACGACGACGATCGGAGAAGGGAACTCCCGAGAAGTGGAGCGGGGGAGGGGGAGCTCGCTTCCCCCCCCCCCCCCCCCCCCCCCCCCCC